GGGGTATTAATCCTATCATCTGTTCAGCGCGTGGAACTGCTGAGTGGGCTGCACAGTGAATGAGAAGCTGTAGGTACCAGGGAAAAGGGGTATGGTGTGTAGGCGTGTTTGGAGCACATTCAGAATTCATGCCTTTCCCTGGCTGTACTGACTGAATGTCAAAATTTCTTTCTGTGCCTCCAGCGGTCACCAGTAACAGGAATTTGCAAGTGCAAAGGTCCAGTGGCGGTAGGAAGGCAGGTGGAACATGAAATAGGCTGGAGCGATGGAGGGGCATAGCCCTTCTCTGCGTCTGTGGTTGTCTGCGCGCTGTTGCTCCACTGAAGGAGGCTCTGAAGGAGCCATGCATCTTGCTCAGAGCAAACAGAATGGTAGATTCAGCACTTCAGATTGAGGCCAGAATATAACAAATGGGCTGAACCAAACTGACAGCTCCCAAGGTCATGGGTGTTGAAGATAGAAGGATTCAGCTTTGAGTCTTGCAGGCTGAGTCCATCTCTAGCGAACAGAACGTGTCTGCCACAAAGGAGCTGGCGCTTCTTAGATCCTGGCTGCGTGTTATGCTTCCTTCTGCGGCAGATCTGGTTTAACAGCGTCTGTGAAACCCAAACTCCCTATCCTGCAGACTGTCTCTCACTAGAGCTGCAGTTCTGCACTGTGGTTCTTTGCCAGCAAATTTTGTTTGAGAACTTCCTACTCTGAACGATTTGTGTCTGCCCCCATACTGTGATTATTAAATAGTCTGTACGATTGCCCTTTAAACTGGATCCATGGTACGGCACAAAGAGAAAAAGCTAATTCCTTCAAATCCACCCACCCCCCACCAAGTATTTGTTTTTAAAAATAACGATTTCACCAGATCTAATTTGGAATCAGCACAGCTGAGGGGGCCATAATGAGTGTCTGTAAATTGGGTGATAGGAACCTCTTAAACCAGAGCAGCTGCCAAAGGCATCTTAACATGGAGCTTCTGCCGTAACAAGAGACAAGGATCTGCAGCCAAATAGCTGACTCCAGGCCGGTGGTTTCCCACCTGGGTACTCGAATCAGTACTCCTTAGGCCCTACAGCTTTTAGATGCCTCTGTGCTGAGTGGAGCACCCAGGAGCAGGGAAGGTTTTTGAACTGGGAGTAGTCAGGAGGAGAAAGCTGTTGTGTATTGCACATCTCAAAAGCGTGTATTGTTTTTTAGAGGGCTCAGGCAGGATGGGGAGGGAGAGCTCTATTGCTGGCATATACAGATGTGTTTCCAGCCAGACATTGAGTGTTAATAGTGCACAGAAAAATATGTGCTTGGGCTTTTGATGGGAAACAACAACAAAAAAATCCTTTCTGTTTCTTTCAGCTGGAAAGTGATGCCGGGAGCTGTTGTTTTAGAGAATAAGTCTGGATTTATAAGCACGCGTGTGAGATGCACCTTTGAATGTATATCAAGAAAATCTACATAGAGAAGATGCATAGCATAGAAAGTAGGTCTTACTGCTGACTGTCACTGTTCAGGGAAAACCAAGCGTGTTGTGGAAATCTCTTTGTGTGCTTCTTTTTTTAAAAAAAGCTAACCCAAAAGCAAAGAACATCTGTTTGTGTATAAATAGATCTGTTTCTTCTGATTTCATAGAGCCCGTTACAGCATGTGCCAATTTCTCTGGAGTGCCAAAAGAGAAGGAACGTCTTCAGAAAATGTTGAGGTTACAATAGCTAGATAAAACCTGCCTGTGCTACCGTTATAACGATACAGTGATGTAGTCAGCTCAGTCTTGCAGAGAGCAAAGGCACTGGTGAACTTAACGTGGTTGCCAGACCTTTCTCACTTCTTCCTGTATGATTTGCCAAATCCTTAGCTAGCTGGAGGGTGAATATTAATACAGGCAGCAGTACTGAAAGCTGAGCAGTGGTATGTTGAAAAGTTCTGCTTGGGCAGGAGATAATTAATGGGATTTTTTTTTTTGCAGTGACCACCCTTAGATGCCCTAAAGTGCTGGCTTGAGCTGGAAGGAAGGGCACCTCTGAAAGGATGCTACTGTCCCCTGGGAGTGGGCTGGAATAGTGTCCAGTGAGCCCTGAACACAAAGCTGATGGAGTTGGTTTTGTTGTTTATTAAAGACAGGCCTTTGTACAGCAGTAATGGAAAATCCTATTTCTGTACCAATAAAAACTTTGCTCCCATGGTTGTTGTTATTGGCAAACTCAGTCACTTTGGTGTTTATGGAAAAGTATTTACTGGGAAGGACTGGATGGTTAGCAAGCTTCATCTGCTTTCATTTTGCTTTGATGGCACACATGTTGCTGTGGGACCTTCTGTTTATCTCTGTACCCCATCTGCAGTCCATCCTTCCAGGCTGGTGTCCCTCTTCTGCAGCATGGACAGCTGATGCCCCTGCTGTTCGCTGTGGCATGGTAGAGAGAGCATTGCAGGGGTCTGGCTGGACTCTTCTTTCTGGCCTGGGGGGCATCAGGTTTGTGTCAGTCCCTACTTTGCCACACAGGACGCTGAAACAATGCACTGTGTGTTTTGTAGCAGTCAGGCTAGACCTAGTTGGCATGTGGGTTATCAGCCAGCTGACAGTAACAATAATAAAGAACTTGAGTGCTGCAGAAGGATTAAAAGAAGCTTCTCTAATAAATGCAATTATACAAACATGCCTGAGCCGTGTGTCCTATTTAATTCCTGCCCAAGAAAAGAGGCATTCCTCAGGGCACTGCTATTGTCTGAGTGAAAGAGATACCCAAGTGCCTCTGGCGTCCTCTCTGAATCCAGAGTGGCTCTTCTGTGCCCCGGGTGGCAACTAATATTGGGCTTCAGATTCCTCTGAAGAACAGTTATTCCTCCAGGACTGAGTCAGTTCTTTTGCCAGGCAGCGACTTTATAGCTGGCAGAGCCCTTGCTGCCATCCAGACCTCACAGGCAGCTTTCATCGCTAGATGCGGCTCCCTGCCTGCATGCCCCGTGGCGTTGTGTTTGCCCACAGAGGTGCCTCTGCTCCATGTAAGGAGGCTTTTGCAATTGGGGATCTTCCCATCAGCAGCTCACTAGCCTCGCCACTTCTAGAGAGTACCTTGACACCAAGAAGGGCACCAGGCTAGACACCGTGACAGGCTGTACTTGTTCTCTTGTCAGGGCAGCTTTAAATCACGCCTTTAATGTGTTTTGTTCTCTCCTGCTGGTGAGTGAATTTTCCATCTCTGCCTTTCACATGAACAGGACTCATGATGGAGAGACCATCTCACAGGCTGTTACAGAGCTGCTTGCCGTTACCCCAGGCAGCACCCACGAAATACTCGCTGGAGCTGATGGGTTGGTACCCCGGCTCTGGGATTTAGGACCGTTAGGTGGAAACAGGCAGCAGTGCAGAGGAGGCAGGAGGCAGTTCTCTAATGCAGATGTATGAACGTAAGAAATGTGGTGCAGATCCATGCGCAGGCTTGCTGGTTCTCAGGCATGGCTTTGACTTTGCTTCTCCGTGAGACAGCGGTTGGGCAGGCGTAGGGGTGCATCCCTAGGGCTGGGCTGAGGGAAGGGGATGACCTGGGAAGGACAGGGACCTCCCGAGGACGGCTTCATGTCACACAGGGAGAGCGCGTTTGTGCTGCCCCAGGGTCGGGTCACTCTTAACGAATGACCAATGTTAGTGGGCCAGGGATGTTAAACCTCAAATGTTTCTCTTTTCTCTCAAAGCTCTGTCTCCTCTTTTCTAAGGGTATTTAGTCTGAAATCATTGCTTATCTGTAGAAGCCGAGGTTTTAAGAAAACCATTAAATATTCCAGGGTTCCTGGTAAGGTGCAAGGTAAAGGATTAAACGGTCCAGAAAAGCTGCTCTTTGACTTTCCCAGCTCCTTGCCCCTCAGCACATACATTCCCCGAGGTATCTCATAAGGTAACTTGTGTGCAGAGAGCAACTGTGCTCTTGCTCATAAGCACCAAATGTTTAATTCTGTGTGTGCTTGTCAAAGTACGTTAAAAATGCAGGCAGCGCTCACTGTCTGTGAGCCAGCTCTTGTAAGCGAGGCACCGTCACAAGGTAATGTTACAGACTTGACACAAATGGAGCCTGCTGGCTCTTGGAAGTGTCCTGGCTACCTGGAGTGTCCTGCTGGGCTGGCATTGCCCCGCTGTCTTCAAAATGCCGCCCTTTCATTTAAGATCCCGAGGAAATGTGGGGCAGAGAGGATGTGTCGTGATGGGTGATTATCTGGTGTGGTTTTGCTGCTATGTGGTTCTCTCTCTTGTCCATCTTCACCTCTATCTAGTTGTATCTTGTCCTACGCTGAGATCCAGTCCTGAGGATCTCCCTGGCATTAGTGGGCATATGAAGGCTTGGAGACACCTCAGCAAGGTTAAGGTCTTTTGTAAAATCACAAGAGTAGCGGTTGTATTGTGTGCACAGCACCTTGCACAGATAGGTCCCAATCTCAGTGTGGTTTAGCATCCATCTGTGCGGTCTTCCTAAGGGGAATTCACGTTCCAGCAAGTGCAACGGCAATGTTTCAAAACTGTGGCAGCGCAACGGGAAGCCTCCGTGAGCACCTTGGTTTTAGAAAAGAGATTCAAATCAATATTTGGCAGCAAGGCTGCATTAGGTAGGGCTGAGAGGCAGCAGTGTGAAATTGATAAACAGAACTGAAAGGGGGAAAATAGACATTGCTGGGATATAAGAGAGAAACCAGGTTAGCTATTGAAAAGTACATTGGGCTTGTACAGCGGTGGAAATGCTGCTCATGTCAGGTGTGGGCGGCCAGTACGCCTTGTGAAATGGGCAGGCATTCGAACTGGAGGCAGCTGCTCCTTTCCTGTCTGCAGGACAAGACCTCTGTTTATCACTGCTCATCTCCTGACATTTTGCTTTGTGCTCTTTCCATCTCCAAGACTGTAACGATGTGCGTTTCTCAGGCCCTGGCTAACAGTTGCTATAACTACCGTTAATGCAGTCATTGAGGCCAGGTCCTGGTTTAGCCTTGTTGCTATCAACCAGCCAACTGAATTTTATTTTCTTGCCTTTCAGTCCTTTCAAGGAAGCCAAGGACGAGCATACCTCTTCAATTCAGTGTGAGTATAACTTTGTACATGTCACCTCCGCATCTCTTAGAATTAAGAAAACTCTCATGAAGAAGAAAACAAAGGATAGTCTGCCTTTAGAAAACCTCTGCCCGAGACTTGGGAGCTTGCTGAAAGTGGTTGGAGAAAGAGGCAGGAAGCAGCACTGATTCATATTTGATTTTATATTGAGGTTTCAGATAAGCAGCTAGGAAAAGGTGGTTTTTTTCGTCATCACATTGAGAAATAAGGGCTAACAGATGACTCATGCTCTTCTCAAGAGAATGTAGTTGGACCAAAGAGTCAAAAGTTTCGTAAATGTAGAGAATAAATAATATCTATATATGAACTTACTTTTTAGAGCTAGCATAAAAATTGAGTATAATTTTCCCAATAATTGAAAATAGCTTTGGTGAGATCACTGCTGGGATGTCTTTCAGTAGAACTGCTGATTTCAGTTACATTTCTCAAGTTTCCATTTGGGAAAGTAAAAGTACCGTTTTATCAACTTGAAAATGAAAATCTTTCTCAAATGCATAATTAGTGCAATTTACTAGAATGTTATTAATCTTCTTTTCAAAGCTTTATAGAATTTTTAGTTGAATAAAAATTCTGTTTCACCTTTTCATTCTGTTTGGGAACTGCAAGAAATCTTTGGTTTGGGCACAGCTGTGGTACTCAGTATCCTGAACCTCCTGCTTATGTTTTCAAATACTCCAATAACATTGCTGTCAGCTTTTTTGTAGCATCTTGACATGGTGCACTAATAGGGAGCATCTCTCCTTTCTCCCCAGAGTTAATGTGGGTTGTGGCCCTGCAGAGGAGCGGGTGTTATTAACAGGATTACATGCGGTTGCAGATATTTACTGTGAAAACTGCAAAACCACACTGGGTTGGAAATATGTGAGTATCAGTATCATTTGTTTTTCCTATGGATAAATGAGGATAACTTCAATCAGTGTTGTCTTTTTTCCCAAACGATATCAGAATAATAGAATGATCCATGTATTGTTAATCCTGCGTCCTTCCCACTGGAAATGCTATTGAATATGAGTTTATCTGTTTGCTGTCTCTTGCTCTTCATAAATTCAATTATCTTCAAATAAAGCCTTATGCTACATCCTGATTTCTGCTTCAGGAGGCACGCAGTGTACTTGTTTGTCAAAACATTTTGACCAGTGTCTGAACACAACATACATTGTATCTGTGGCCTCTGGACAGAAATATTCTTTAATAAATCAGTTGAAAGGCTATAAAAAGTAAAGCATCAAAAATTGACGCGGTAGGAATTCATGCAGAAACACAGCATGGATCTCACGAACGGAGAAGGACACTAAGTACATAAATTGAGTTTATTGTAAAACAAAACACAAAATTTCGTAAACATAGCCCAGGCCTCTCCAGCAATAGAATTACATTATTTCCGATGCATTACATGCACACACACCCGAGCAGAACTGAACTGCTTTTGATGCAGCCTCAATAACGGGAGTCCCTCCCGGTTAGGGATCCCATAGATTTCCTTACCTCTGCAGTTCTGCAGTGTTGAAGCACTGCGTGTTTCTGCAGCTGCAGGCACCTGTCTGCGTGGAGTGGGTCCTTCTCGTCCCTCGAGAAGTTTACCGTAATCCATCTCGTTCCTGACAGTAGTGCTTTTACAGCATGCGTCATCAAAGGACCTCTGTATTCTTAGCAAACATTAATAAATTCTCAGACCACCCTAGAGAGAGGTGGATTTTTATCACCGATGATTCCTAAAGTGTAGTTCAAGGAGCAGTTGCTGTTGGCCTGCAGAAAGCTGCGCATTTACATGGTGCTGATTGTTCCTTTTTCCCAGCCTGTAAAGACAGCTAGAAGCAGGATTTAAGATTCTTCCAACGTAATTTTGCTGAAAGCCAACAGTAGGACCTGCAGTTTGACTGTTTTACTCTGTAGAGAAGGCTAAGACTTGTACCAGTATTCCCAGATCTGATTGGTTAACTGAGACTTTACCTTCAGATACCATCTTGATCTCATTCTTTCTCCTTTTTTGTTTCTTAGGAACACGCTTTTGAAAGCAGCCAGAAGTATAAAGAAGGCAAATACATCATTGAACTAGCTCACATGATCAAGGATAATGGCTGGGATTGAATGGAAAGAGCCCAGCCCTACCAGCGTGTAAGAGAATGCCATCCAACCGAACATTATATCCAAGAGTGAGAGAGTGACTGAACGCTTGGTTCCATGCATTTAGAGGCTCTGCAATTTGGGAGCATCTTCACACCCTTCTCCATCTTTATTGGTGACTGGCCTCTAAATTTCTGTCTCTCTGTCTCTTTGCTTTGTATCTGTTTGTGAGTTGACCCTGGCTGCTTCTCTCTCTGTTCTGGCGTTGGCTAAGAGAATGCACCGAATGCCCGACAGCCATTCCATGTTGACGAATGTTTAAGTACAAACTGAAGTTGGCTCTGTGGTGGCATTTTACCAGAAGGTCTCGGTGCGGGAGGAAGACCCGAGTTTTGGGCAGGAGAAGGTGATAGGGGGTGGGGAGTGGGCCCAAAGGGAAGTCATCAGAAGTTGAAACTGTACTTCTCCTTTAAGTCCTGGTTAACCAAGGCTTGAAACTATCTACTTGTCTAAATGGACAGAAAAATACCTCACGGCTGCGTTCTCTCTGAATCGTAAAACCGCTGCTCCATCAGTGGAGCTTCGGTCTAAGCCGGCTGAGCACAAGTCATAACCAGTTCCCCCCGCAAGCTAATCGCAAATCTGTGTTTTGTTTGCCATTTATGAACTTGTTGTTTGGGGGGGGTGGGGGGGTGGACCTGAAGGCTGGAGAGATTCCCTGCCTCTCCTTCTTCTTGCTGTTTCAGGGTAGGTAGGCCAAACATCCCACCAGAACACAGCTGTGGGGAGCATCCTCACAGCTGGAGAAACCAAATCCTGACTCTTGAGCCCTTCAGAGAGGAGGAGAAAACCGCTTTAAGGCACAAAGGGGTTGGAGCTGCAGCTTAGAAGATGTGATGGGGGGGAAAAAAGGCACGTGCTAGGCAAGAAAGAGGAAATTATGTACCAGAGGATGAGGACAAACTTAGTAACACAGGGTAGTCCTTGATTTCGTGGCCTCCACTGAGCATCCTTGGGGGTCTTTTACCAATCCTTCACAAGTGTGAGTAGGAAAATGCTGTTACAGAATCTTTTTCTTAAATCCCAGGCCGCAGCCATCAGCTCCGATCTCGGAGCCTGGCAGAGAAATGGTGTGAGTGTGGGGAGAGGAGGGAGCAGAGGAGCCTGGTGGTTGTAGCAGTATTGCACAGGTGGATATTTCAAGCCATGAGGTATCCTCCCCAAAACCTTCCCCCCTTTTCCCACTCCCAGAAGCCTATTGCAGGCACAGGGGGTTGGGAAAGAAAAAAGAAACTAAATATCTTCCCCCTACCCTTGAAATCATCCATGCCTTGGATTTTGTAGGGGAGGGGTGGATGTGGGCATCATAACAGCAAGGGACAAGTCCTTCCCATTTTAATGTTTTCATTTTAATTAGCGTGGACCTTCCCGAGGTGGTTGGTGGGGAAGGGGAATCGTGTGTGAGAGGGGAGCTGCGTTAGACGTAAACGACAATGTGAAGTTTGCTCTGCAACAGTCCAGCCAGTATCTGGTGCATAACTCAAGACTATTTAACCGAATTAGGTTTATCTCTCTGAGTGAATTTTCTTTCTGTTTGTGGAATTCTTTCAAGTAGGTTAATCCACTGGGGAAAATCTTTCTTAATCCAGAAGGAAAGAGTATTGTGCAGGGGTTTGTAACTCCTTATGAAACCGAAGCTTTGGAGCTGTTGACGCTTGCCCCCCTCCCAGATACTCTCAGTTAGCTGGGGATCAGGACGGAGGGCTGGTGGTGAGAAAATAATTTGCTGTTAAACGAAGGGGATGTGAGCAGAGACGCTACTTATGGATCAGGGTAGGCTTTACGTGTGGGGTCCTTGTGCTGAAACCCAAACCTGATGGCCCATCTGAGCAAAGGCTGTTTTTTCTCTTGAACCACTTTACAGCCGTGGAGGGAGACGTGAGGTGGAGGCTGGTCGCAGCTCCTGCAGTGGACGGGCTTGACTCGGTTTGTGGCTAGCTGTTAGCAGGTAGCTTCTGCCTTCACCCTTTCTGCTGTGGCTGTGTAACAGTTGGTTCAGCTTTCGTTTCTGATCGTCTCTGCTTCCATCATCCATGTTCCCTTCAGTGATAAAAATCTAGTAGAAATCAAAAGCTCTGCAGTACCCGCTATCTTGTTGACTTTGGCACTGGCCTGGTCCCATTTTCCTGTCCTTTGGTTGGTGATCCATGACAATTTATTGAGTTTTGGCTAGTGGGAAGTAATCTGTGTTTTTTGGAGAGCTCTTCAGTCTCCCCAGATACGCAGCCTTTAAGGGGAGCTGGTTGGAGCTGGGAGAAGTAAAGGATAACCCCAAATCATTAATAAGAGGTTGAGAAAAAGAGCACACATGGGCTCACAGTTTTATGTTGGTATTTAGAGTGATCGCCTATAAAAAAGCAGTATAAAAGGTAGGCCTGACTAGAGGACTGCTCTGAGAAATAAGAACAGTTACTACAGAGAGCTACCAGATGTAAATGTTTTTATCCATGTATTTGGGACACAAAAGGACGATGATCCATCAGCTCAGGCTGGGTTTAACTGTTCACAGGGGTTATGCTTTTAATGGCAACCAGTCTAAGCTTAAATACGGCAAGATCTTAATCTGGTTTTAATTGGTTTTGTCCCATCAGCATCCACAGATTCACACTTGCTGAGAATCTGGCCTTGAGCCCTGATACGAAAAAAATAATGTGTGCCAGTGAACGTCCCCAACACCTAGAGAATTACCTATAGAGTGACTTTAATACACTGTACAGGGAAATTGGGAAAAATGAGCTTGTGAGGCTCATTGGCGTTTGGTCTCTGCTATGTGTCCATTAAATATGAAGTACTGCTTAGTCCGCTGCTAACTCATCTGTGACTTGCTGTATTAAGACACATGACAGTGTTGGGAGCTGGTGACCAGACAGGACCATCAGATCTGTATGCTAGTGGCTGCTACGATCAGTGCAGGCTAAATTGATGACTCGTAGAGTGATCTATTCAGAGCATAACCAAAGAACCTCACTATCCGCATCCCTCTGGTCGTGTGAGTTGACTGTAGCCGGTTCGTTAGTGACCGGGGTGAGCAAGGTGGGACCGTTGTTTTCTGAGCTGGAGATGTGGTCCATGGAAACCACCATGAAAACTTGGGCAGGCAATGCCTGAACGCAGAGCACCGAGTGCTCCTGGTGCTGCTTTCCCTGGGTGACAGCCTCGAGAAAACACGAACAGCAGCGAGTTTTGCTTTTTTTTTTTTTTTTTTTTTTAATGTGGCGGCCTCGTCTCTGGCAAGCTGCGTGCACCCTGGAGTTTACATCACCCCCGTCTACCCCAAAGCTCAGACTTGAGTTTTAAATTGTTTTGCTCTGGTGGATTATCTGGTGTGAAATCCTGATCCCTGTAATAAATATTCAGATGATAATATATACAAAGCAGAAAAAAAACACATTGTGAAATATACTTTTGTAAATAATATTTAATTTTTTTAAAAAAATAATATATTTGGTGCTGTTTTCTCAGAGCCCCCTCCCTGAGAGCACTTTTTTGTTGTTTATAAATGATCCTGTTTCCTTCTGTATTTGTTGGAAAATATGTTTAAAGGGAAGCAAAAATCATAATATACATTGTCCTCTTAAGTCAATCCATTTTTCTTCTGGACGCGGCAGGAGTGGGGAGTCGCTCCTGCTTCCATCCGGCAGAATTCATCTCGGGTGCAGGCGGTGGCCGGGTTACGGACAGCAGCCGTGGTCCGGGCAGGTGCTGATGTGTGGGATGGGAGATAGCTCCGGGCACTCGGGGAGCACGCCCGGTGTCTGGCGTTACGTGCTGAAACGCCTTCGCTCGGCACCGGAGGTCCCGTCCGGCAGCCTGAGCCCCGTGTCAGCTCGTGCTCCCACGGCCCGTCCCACGAGAAGCCGGTGGGGCTCCGTCTGGGCACGACTTTCCTGAGGAGATCTGGTTTGTAGGATCCAGGCTTGAAATTTTCTCTTGCACCAGTATTGGCTGGAGTGAAGTAGATACCAAGACTTAGAAAACGGGATTGAATATCAGCTGCAACCTCTGAATCGCTGTTTCCAGTTGCTTGGGGGCAGCAGGGATGGAGGATGGAGATTTCTAACTAGTCGTTGTTTTTAAACTAAAACAAGTCTTTGGACATGGATCCTGGTTTTCTTTTGGGGTTTGTTTTGTTTTGTTTTGTTTTTTAAACCAGGCTGCTACATAACAAATTAGAATAAAAGTTTACCTCTCTGGCAGTAAAGGGGTTTTTTTTGTTTTCCTTTCTGTCTTTAACCTCCCCCCTTCTCCCCCTTCTTCATTTTTAATTCATTGGGTCTCTGTTTATCCCAAAGTGGACCAACAGCACAAACCACTGGACTGTGTTTTGCTGAGCAAGGAGCTGTTTTCAGTGCTGAATAACTGTTGCACGGTCTTTAATTCTCTGTTTTTGGTGCACACGATTTAAAAATGTACAGAAAAAAAAACCACCTACGAATGAAATCTGTTGTTCTTGTGATGATCAAGTGAGAATTTTCTCTGTATGCATTTTTCTAACTGGTATGTGAGAGTGTGTTAATCATGCATTTCACTGCACTTCCTTGTTTCGGGAGGAGCATCATGTTTCCGTGTGAACCAGTTTGTGGAGGGAGAGGTGACACCCGGACACCCGGTTGGGTAAAAGGATTGGCGAGAACCAGAGCTCAGCTCAGTGGGAAGGAGCTCATCTCACCAGGTGAGAGGCCTCAGAAATTAAATGTTCAGAAACAATTACCTTAGACATAGATTTTGCAGAATCCTGTTTAAAAAGAGTAAGCGGAAGAGGGGAAACAAAATCATCTTGAATTCAGAAAAAAAAAAAAATCCAACGTATTTAAATGCAAGCAGAATGGCATTGTGTATGGTACAACCACAAATAAGCTATTCTCATAGTTACAATCTGTATGTATCCTTTGTTTTGTTTTTCATGAGGAAACGGGAATGCTTTCCCCACTGACAAAACGAAAGGACGATACTTCCAATACCAGCCTGTCTATCGATGCTCTTGTGTTTACAAATTGTGTATACTTTTATTTCTTTGATCTTATTTTAATTTTATTTTTTGGCATATTCTTTCAGGTCATTTGCTTCAGTAATAAATGCAATTGTTTGTTTTCAAATAATTGGTTTTCACCTTTTCATGTATTTGTACATTGTATATAGTTCTTCAGTATTAGAGGGAGGCGTATTGTTTGTCATATTTACAATATGTGTTGGTGCTCATTTGAGAAAATAAAATTTTCAAGTACTAAAACTGCTGGTCCATGTTTTTGTTTTAATCTCCTATACTGTGTGTCAGTGGGAGCAGCAAAATGTGGTTGTTCAAGACATGTTACATTTAGCTTGAAAATGGTGAAATTATCCTCTTTCCTGATACCTGCCAGCCCGGAGCAGTCACCTGGTGCGCACTTGAATCGCTTCCGCACTTGGAGGCGGCAGTCACGGGCAAGGATCCCATGGGGCAGAGCAAAAAGATGATCCCTACCCCCTGAAGTCAAGGATTTGGTACAAGAGGAAACCCCACATGGAGCAGGAGACCCGAGTGCTGACCCGACGGGCACCATCGTGCCGTGACCAAGTGCCTTTCCCTGAACCAGATGAGCAAGGGAAGCACTGACTTTGTTTTGTGACTAATTACGTGATTTTAAGGTATTTTTCAAGCAACAACAATAACAAGAAACCCGTAAATAAATTCCCGTTGTTCTCGTTAAGTCCTTTCCCATCAATGCAGGGTTTTGTCGGCACCGTCACGTAGCAGCGCCTACAACGGTAGAATGGGCCAAGAAATTCCCAGTGGCCAGAAAACCGCTCCGGGGTTTGCAAGTTCTGCGCGTTGGTGGAATTCACTGCGTAGCTCCGTGTCTTGTAAAGTTGTATTGTGGTGGCTGTAGGAAATACCTGTTACTCCCAGTTAAACCAAAGCTTTGTCAGGCTCTTTGGGGCGTTGGGGTATTTGCAAGTCGAATGTCCGTTTCAGAAGTTCAGCAAACGAC